GTTGCCTGAGGTCAGACTAGAACCAATGGGTTGAAATTACATCAGAAGAGTTTTTGGCTAAACATTAGGAAGAACTTTCTGACAGAGCAGTTCCTCAGTGGAACAGGCTTCCTTGGGAGGTGGTGGGCTTTCCTTCTTTGGAGGTTTTCAAACAGAGGCTAGACAGCCATCTGACAGCAATGCGGATTCTTTGAAGTTAGGCAGATTATGAGAAGGAGGGCAGGAAGGGTTGCCTCAGTGCTTAGTTCTTGTGGCCCTTTTTTACACGCCCAGGGAAATGCTGATGGCCACTTTGGGGCTAGGAAGCAATTTTTCTCCAGGCCAGTTTGGCCAGGGATCCTGGAGGTTTTTTGTCATCTTCTGGGTGTGGAACAGTGGTTACGGGGAGGTATTTGTGAATTTCCTGCATTGTACAGGGGGTTGGACTAGATAACCCAGGAGGTCCCTTCCAACTCTATGATTCTACTCTTGTTGAAGCCCAGGAAAATCAGTGATTTTAAACGGATGTAATTCTACATAAGATTGCATAGTAATAGTGTAGTCTTTGAACACTTTCTCAGAAGTAAGCACCATTGCGGAGACCAGCTTAAGAATGCTCTCTTAGTGTTGCAACCTGCAGAGCAAATTCTTGGGCATATCTGACCAGATATATGCATTATTCAGTAAGACATGAGACATGTCACATGATCCTATATGCCTATTTGCTCAGCAGCTGAATCCCATGGTAAGTCTGTATAAAATCATAGCCTTAAGCATATAGTAGTCAAGCGCATTGGATAAAAGTGTTGTTCTGTTTCTTATAGTAGGCCTGGTTTAAAGGGACTGCAGAAAAATACGGGGAAAACAGCTGAGAGGCAGGGAGACTGCTCCCCGGTCTCAGCTGTTTCCCCGTGTTTTCTTTTGCTGGTTTAAAGGGACTGCAGGAAATCGGAGAGAACAGTTGAGAGGTGGGGAGGGAGAATGCAACCCCCAGCTGTTTTCCCCTAGCTTTCTTTTGCAGACTGGTTTAAAGGGACTACAGAAGAAATTGGGAGGAAACAGCGGAGAGGCGAGAGCAGTATGCTCCTGTGGCTTAGTTGTGTTTTGCAGTGTTGCTGCTCCTGGGTTTGATTGCCCCCCCCCCATTTTTTCCATCTTTGGTCTATTGAACCTGGGAAAAAAAATCAGGATTAAAAAAAAATCCCGGATCTGAATACTTTGTCACTATTGGGATCTGGGATTTTTTGGAAATCCCAATTTTTTGTGTGTGTCCAATAGAGCTGAACTGAAAACCCCCCAGAAAAAAATTGCACACCCCTAATTTTAAGCGTCAGCAGCCTGATTCCTTCTTAGGACAATTGGAGGCCCATCTGTTTTGTATATGTCCTGCTTGGTCCAAAAAGCATCCCAGTGCCTAACAAACCCTTCCTCCCTACACTATTGTCTCATTCATGCATTGAGACTCCTAATTTGTTCCTGTCTAGCTGGCCCTGCACATGGAACAGGCAGCACTTCTGAGAAGGCTGCCTTGGAGGTCCTGGCCTGTGTAGCAGCCTCAATTTTTTCTCCAGGACCACATAACTACATTTCCCCACATCGTTGGTGCCAACATGTACCATAGCCACTGGCTCCTCCTCAGCGACCTCAGCACTGTCTACCAGCCTAATTAGATCATGCGTAATGTCTGCTACCTTTGCACCAGGCGGGCAAATCAGCATGCGGTTAGTATGCAGGATTGCAACTCATCTATCTCCATGGGTTCACAACCCATCTATCTATGTGCTTAAGGATCGAATCATCAACTACCAAGAGCCCCCTTCCCTCCCTGCCCGGTGATGGTTCCTTGGGGTGAAAGGGAAGCTGTTCACCAACTGTAGAAGAGGACTCTTCTGTGGGAACATTACCCCTTTCTTCAGCATGGTTCCCTGTTTCTTCTTGACCCTCATGCTCCCTGACAGAGGTGGGGCTGCCATTCTTGGAGTGGGACACATCAAACAAGTCCCTGAGAGTCTTATCCATGTGCTGTGTGCCTAACTGACTTCCTTTACTTCTCCAGGTCAGCCAACTTGACCTTGAGGGTGCAAACTCATTCCCTGAGGACCAGGAGCTCCTTGCACTGAGCATAGACTCATGACTTCGGTCCAGCTGGCAGATAGTTATACATGTAGCACTCAGTGCAATACACTGGTTAACCCCCAATCCCCTGCTGGCATTCTACCTTCATAATTGCTGTACAGTCTTGGTCTTGCATGCTCATGTTTTGGCTATGCCATAATGGCTAAGTATAATGCTGAGCTGCTCAGCTGTAGTCACGTTACCTATG